ATCATATAGAAATATTTATTTCCTGAAAATTATTTTCTTATTTCGAATAGTCTTCTTAGTGCTTAACAATTGGATAATTGTTTATCATTTACTAGTAAAATAATGAGAATCTTGATGGAAATCAATACTACTGTTTTTTTTTCCTAATATAACTTGAAATAAAATAGATTTTCTGTAGGTATTCATGTACGCAGATGTTAACATCTGGTGAAAGAGAATAATAATCGTTATAATTAATGACAAATAGAGTAAGCTATTAGAAAAGATCTGCTCGAATGAATGTAAATTGTTTTCTTTTAGACGAAATAACTATGTAAAAGTCAATTATTTTTATAAAAATCCAAAGATAATTTAATTACATAAGAAAAAAAATGAAACGACATTATTTAGTGATTTATTAAAATTCTATTTGGAACTATTTTTAATAATATAAAAATATTGACTCCAAAATTACATATAACAAAGTTTTTTTGTATTCAGCTACAGTAGTCGTCAAAAGTTCTGTTATAAGATACAAACGATCTAAACGTAAATCATTTGGTCTCATATTTTGGTGACTAATACATTTTATTATTCAAATGAGAATCCTTCAGCATTAATAAAAAATTTCACAACGTCGGACAGCTCGTTCGTGAGCTTAGGATTGTCTGTACCATAGTTAAAAACTTCATTTCAAAAAATTATAATTTGCTTGATTTATGATCTTATCTTTGGATATTCTTCGCATGAGAGTTGATAGAATTCGTCAAAAAGTAATCTATCATTTCGATTAAATTCAACCGTCTGCTTTCAAGTATTTCCTGAAAATTTCAGGATATTAGTGTTTGATATCTAAGCAATAAACATTTGTTTTGTTTTTTCTAAATCTAATGCTTTGGTACTTACGATCAGAATTTATTGATTTCCTGACAACTACTGTGTATCATAAAAAAAAAATTTTTATTTGATAAATTCTATTTAATTGTTGTGATTATTTTTATATTTATATTTTAAAAAAATTTTGTATTTATTTTAATGATTAGATATCGTCTTCACTTTCAACGTGAATCTCGTGATGAAATTGATCGACGAAAAAAACTTGCTCAATTACCTATTGAAAAATTACCTGAAGAATCATTAGAAATTCCTATTGAGCAAATCTATCGACCAGGAAGTGCTCTTGATATGCCTATACGACCAGCATGGACATATAATATGACTAAAGAACAATTAGAACAACAAGAACAAACTTATTTTAATGTAAAATCTATATATGTATATATATATATATATTCATTGATAAAATTAATTTTTAGAATTATTTGGAAAAAATTTTTGAAAATTTTCAAGCAAATGATTTAAGTTATTTTGAAATGAATCTTGAAACATGGCGACAATTATGGCGAACAGTAGAAATTTGTGATATTATTCTTATGATTGTTGATATACGTTTTGCTGTAAGTTATTTTATTCGATAGTATTGTTCAAAAATATCAGACTAATGTATTTTTGATTTTTTTTTTCTTAATAATATTAAATATTTAATTCAAAATTTCAAATAGTAGTTTGAATAGTCAAAGAAGTTCTCTATCAAATCATTCCATATCGAAATTTCATGGATGAATTATAAGAAGAAGATTTCTGAAGAACCAAACACTTATTAGCATAATAAAAACAACAAAAAAAAAATGTCTTACAAGGAAATTCTCCAAATGATTAATCGCTTTGAAATCCGAACTATGTATATCATGTAGACTCTAATGAGCTATCAACATTCTGAAAAGAGTTCAAGCTGTTAGCTTAGTGCTACTGAGATACTGCATTTTTTTATTTAATGCCGTGATCCTTCTCAGGAATACTAGGGAAACTCATTTTTGGATCTCGTCTTGAAACTTTGCACAGGGACTAGACTCACCAAGAATAGTTTATTGTGAAAGTTTTACGATCTTTTGATATGCTCTTTTCTTGAAATATAAACATCAAATCTGTCAGTGTATATGAACAGTATAAAAGATAAGTTTTTATCATAACTATATCTTAGGATAGGAACAACGAAAATATCGGAAAC